CTTGTCGTTCGGCAGAGCTTTGGCATTTTCGGGCCAAAATCGCCAAACTAATGCCAAAGTTAGGCTTCACTTTTTGACAGTTCGGCTGTCACCTGGCACATTCGGGCCAAAATCGCCACAAATGTGCCAGAGTTAGGCTTACTACCTTGTACTTCGGTTGAGATCTGGCATCTTTGGGCCCAAGTCGCCAAACGAGCGCCCAAGTTAGGCTTCGCTTCCCGATAGTCTGGCTGTGATCTGGCAGCTGCGGGCCAAGTTACCAAAAAAGTGCCAGAACTAGGCTTACTGCCTTGGAGTTCGGCTGATGAGGTATTTGATGTACGCGGGTGGTCTTGATCTTAATTAAATAGAAATCAAGTTTTATTCGGCTGGCAACTTTATCTTATTTTGGGTGTCTCTTGATTTCTGCAGTCCAAAGGTTGGCTGAATGTTTTGACGAAGCTGGAGCAGGCTTTGCAAACGCAAATTGTGCCAGATGTTTTACTCGCGCGTAGGTACACAAGCCAATATCGGGACGCGCCGTGACACTGGTTCGACATTATGGCGCGTTCACACCGGCGATGCGATCTGGTCGCGCCATAACTTCCATCGCAAAAGCAACCATCGCGGGCAAAAAGTGACGGGTTTTGAGCAGTCGCTTGCTGACCCGACTTTTTACGATGCACTCTAGTCGCGGAGAGGCCGAGCCAACCAACGGCGTTCGGAGCGAGAGTTTTTGAGAAGCGACTCGCCAACGAAGGCGTTGGACTCGCTCATCGGGCACGCCAAATTGACCAACTAATTACTTTTTTTTTCTTTTTTTTTTTGCGATGCGATTTAGCTGGATCGCGCGACTGCTATCCCCGGTGTGAATCCGCCTTTACAGAAAGTGCTGCCATTGAGCTAACACTGCGCAAGACGGATGTGCGCACGTCTCAACAAGATATATCATTATTAAGGGGTGTCCAAACAGGACACTACAAAACGCACGACTCCTACAAATCGTGAAAATTGAAGCGGACACGCCCGCTTCAAGCCCGCTTCAATTTTCACGATTTGTCGGAGTCGTGTCCTGTTTGGACACCCCTTTATGCGGCGCATTGCAAAATCTAGCGTGGCTCTGTGCGTGTCTTGCATTGTGATTGAGCACTGTCAAATCCTAGCGATAACAAAGTGCGGAAACGACCGTGGCTCTATCGCGCGGTTCCCGCATCACACTTGGGGGATGAAAATGAAATTCCGGAAATTGTACTATTTTAGCGCGTTGATACTTTTTAAACATTAAAAAGTGGAGACACAAAAGGGACGATAAAGACAGGACAATCTCTGAACTTTAAAGCCGCTGTACAAACGGGACGTTCTGCAGAGAAGAACCTTCTCTCCCGAAGCTGGGGGACGGGGAGGGAAAGGTCAACCGTTGGATGGAAAGAGGTTTAGAGAATGGGATTAGCCTCGGGGCGAGCCATCCTCTCGAGAGGGAGTGGGGACGGAACAAAGCTGGCCGTGGAGGTTCCGGCTACCAGGTGGAAGAAAGTTAAGCTTGTCAAACAGCGACCTCGAATCCGAGGACGGGCACGCCGGAGAATTTGAAAATAGCTGCTTGATTAGCCGGACGACCCAGTGCGGTCTACTGGTTCTAGAAGGTGACTCGGATGAAGAAAACTCGTTTTGGTCGAAAACTCTGAAAGCATTCTGGACGTGAACCCTTGCCACAAATAAAAATAACACATGCATGAAAAACTGCGAAGGCACCTAAGCTTTCTCCTATGATGTGGGAATGCGTTAGCATTACAGGCAGAGTTAAGTTGGCGCAACTTGCAATAAAGAAAGAAAAAAAAAATTATGCTGGCGCAACGGATAGCGCGCTAGTTTCACGATCAAGAGGGCCTAGCTTCGAAACCGGGCAGGGATTTTTTTTTTTTCTCGTGTTTTTTTTTTTTTTTGTTTTGTTTGGTTAAATGGCAAGAAAAATCACATGAACAGAATTTTTTTTAGGCCAAGTCACCAGAGATTTTTTTTCTAATTTCTCCTTTTCTTCAGTCTTTCTTTCTTTCTTTCTTTCTTTCTTTTTTTTCCTTTTTTTCGGTTTACGCTTCCTATCGCAAAACTCTTTGCACCTATTTCGCGTTACATTGGCGTTAGCCAAATCATTTTATTTATGGCAGGGAATTCTGCCGTACGTATCTTATGTTACTATTACCAACCCTGGATTTCGTCCGGCAACCAGTTCGGGAATGACGACGCCAAATTTCTGTTATAATTTCTTTGAGGTCTAAGTCCTCGTTATCCGTCGGTCTCTAAGATTGGCTCTTCAAGTATCTTTTGGGAAAGAGTTGACGACAGGCATTTTTAAGGAGCACGTGTGTCGACCAGAGTGAACATTGCTGAAGCGCCTCTAGTGTGATTTTGGCCGTAAATAACTGGAGGCCCCGGGCAAACCAACCCAATGGATAAAAGTATCTACCTTTCTGGTTTCATAGAGAGCTATGAAAGTCAGAAGGGACGAATCCCAGCCGAGTCAAACTACCGGCTTGCAAACGAAATCGTGTTGATAATAGCGCAAAGGAGTTTGTATGACTCTCTCTGGCGGTGCGCAGAGGGTAAAGGCACGGAGGTAACCCAGGCAGCACCGAGTTCTGGGCCAAAACTTGGCTTGCGTCTGGCAGTTTAGGGCATTAAAAAGCCCGAAGAAGCCAAAGTAGTGCCAAACCTGACCTCCCTTGGCAACAGTCTGGGTATCTTGGCCCTAATTCGCCAAACAAGTGCCAAACTTAGGCTTCGCTCCCGGGTAGTTCGGTTATTATCTGGCATCTTCGGGCCTAAATCGCCTAACAAATGCCAAATTTAGGGTTACTGCCCGTTAGTTCGGCAGATCTTTGGCATTTTTGGGCCAAAATCGCCAAACTAATGCCAAAGTTAGGCTTCACTTTTTGATAGTTCGGCTATCACCTGGCACATTCGGGCCAAAATCGCCACAGATGTGCCAGAGTTAGGCTTACTACCTTGTAGTTCGGCAGAGCTTTGGCATTTTTGGGCCAAACTCGCCAAACTAATGCCAAAGTTAGGCTTCACGTTTTGACAGTTCGGCTGTCACCAGGCACATTCGGGCCAAAATCGCCACAGATGTGCCAGAGTTAGGCTTACTACCTTGTAGTTCGGCAGAGCTTTGGCGTTTTCGGGCCAAAATCGCCAAACTAATGCCAAAGTTAGGCTTCACTTTTTGACAGTTCGGCTGTCACCTAGCACATTCGGGCCAAAATCGCCACAAATGTGCCAGAGTTAGGCTTACTACCTTGTAGTTCGGTTGAGATCTGGCATCTTTGGGCCCAAGTCGCCAAGCGAGTGCCCAAGTTAGGCTTCGCTTCCCGATAGTTTGGCTGTGATCAGGCAGCGACGGGCCAAAGGTGCCAAACAAGTGCCAGAACTAGGCTTACTGCCTTGGAGTTCGGCTGATGAGGTATTTGATGTACGCGGGTGGTCTTCATCTTAATTAAATAGAAATCAAGTTTTATTCGGCTGGCAACTTTATCTTATTTTGGTTGTCTCTTGATTTCTGCAGTCCAAAGGTTGGCTGAATGTTTTGACGCGGCTGGAGCAGGCTTTGCAAACGCAAATTGTGCCAGATGTTTTACTCGCGCGTAGGTACACAAGCCAATATCGGGACGCGCCGTGAGACTGGTTCGACATTATGGCGCGTTCACACCGGCGATGCGATCTAGTCGCGCCATAACTTTCATCGCAAAAGCGACCATCGCGGGCAAAAAGTGACGGGTTTTGAGCAGTCGCTTGCTGACCCGACGTTTTGCGATGCACTCTAGTCGCGGAGAGGCCGAGCCAACCAACGGCGTTCGGAGCGAGAGTATTTGAGACGCGACTCGCCAACGAAGGCATTGGACTCGCTCATCGCGCACGCCAAATTGACCAACTAATTACTTTTTTTTCTTTTTTTTTTTGCGATGCGATTTAGCTGGATCGCGCGACTGCTATCCCCGGTGTGAATCCGCCTTTACAGAAAGTGCTGCCACTGAGCTAACACTGCGCAAGACGGATGTGCGCACGTCTCAACAAGATATATCATTATTAAGGGGTGTCCAAACTGGACACTACAAAACGCACGACTCCTACAAATCGTGAAAATTGAAGCGGACGCGCCCGCTTCAAGCCCGCTTCAATTTTCACGATTTGTCGGAGTCGTGTCCTGTTTGGACATTCCTTTATGCGGCGCATTGCAAAAGCGAGCGTGGCTCTGTGCGTGTCTTGCATTGTGATTGAGCACTGTCAAATCCTAGGGATAACAAAGTGCGGAAACGACCGTGGCTCTATGGCGCGGTTCCCGCATCACACTTGGGGGATGAAAATGAAATCCCGGAAATTGTCCTATTTTAGCGTGTTGATACTTTTTAAACATTAAAAAGTGGAGACACAAAAGGGACGATAAAGACAGGACAATCTCTGAACTTTAAAGCCGCTGTACAAACGGGACGTTCTGCAGAGAAGAACCTTCTCTCCCGAAGCGGGGGGACGGGGAGGGAAAGGTCAAGCGTTGGATGGAAGGAGGTTTAGAGAATGGGATTAGCCTCGGGGCGAGGCCATCCTCTCGAGAGGGAGTGGGGACGGAACAAAGCTGGCCGTGGTGGTTCCGGCTACCAGGTGGAAGAAAGTTAAGCTTGTCAAACGGCGACCTCGGATCCGAGGACGGGCACGCCAGAGAATTTGAAAATAGCTGCTTGATTAGCCGGACGACCCAGTGCGGTCTACTGGTTCTAGATGGTGACTCGGATGAAGAAAACTCGTTTTGGTCGAAAACTCTAAAAGCATTCTGGACGTGAACCCTTGCCACAAATAAAAATAACACATGCATGAAAAACTGCGAAGGCACCTAAGCTTTCGCCTATGATGTGGGAATGCGTGAGCATTACTGGCAAAGTTATGTTGGCGCAACTTGCTAAAAAGAAAAAAAAAAAAGTTATGTTGGCTGCAATAAAGAAATAAAAAAAAAAGTTATGTTGGCGCAAGGAGTTCGCTTCCGGCTTTCGACGAGAGCGGACGGACGATGATTCGCTCCGATAACGGCGCGTTATCGGCCCACGCGGGTCGAGGAAGCATCGACGCTGCAGCCAGCAGTAGCGATGAGTATCGTGTGGTGTTGCCCCGTTTCCCAGATGGAAAAATGTGTCTGAATTCCGTGTTTTTGCACGCGGACCTGATGGGAAGACCGTACCGTGCTGTGGATTTTCGAGACGGACTGAAGGACATCGTGGACATGACGGACGTGGTTTCAATTGGACAATTCCAAATGAGCCACATATGGATGATCACTCTCGCAAGCATGGCTGCCACAGAAAAGATGAAAAGGATTGGACAACTCACGGTCAAGGGGCGGAAGTGTCTGGTGCTGGACCCCAACGCAAAGGACATTAGGGTAAGGCTACTTTGGCTCCCAACGTATCTGGAAGACAGACGTGTGGTGGAAGCTCTCGAGCCTTACGGTAAAGTTCGTAACATCGTTAGGGAGAAATGGCGAGTCCCGGGAATGGAACACTTGGAAACCATGAACAGAGAAGTCAGCATGACGCTGCATGACGCCGTCAGCTCTTCCGACCTGCCCCATATGATCAAGGTATATGGGGTGCAATCCCTTGTCATTGTGCCTGGAAGACCACCGCTTTGCCTACGATGCAAAAAAGTAGGCCATATCCGGAAACAGTGCCGTGCACCAAAATGTACCAAGTGCAACAAATTTGGTCACGAAGACAACGAGTGCTACGCGACCTACGCCACGGTGCTGAGGCGCGGGGACGAGGATGCCGAATCGAATCTCGACCAGTTCATGGACGTGTCCGAAGTAGTGGGAGCCAACGGCGAAGTGGGGGCGTCCACGGGCGGCCCTGCAAACAGTCTTCCCTCCGTACCAGGCGAGACCGGCGCCATCAACGACCACCAGCCACAAGACCCAGGAGCCATACCTGTGTCCTCGCAGACTGGGGATGATTCTTCCATGGAGCAAGGCAGTAACTGCGGCAGTGCTGCTACACCTTCGGAGCTGGACGACCGAGACCAAGGTGAAACCAAGCAAGCAGGTCCCTTTCCCGAGGGTCAAGGGAACGGAGTGGACACAAACTCTGCTCTGGGAACTGGTGTCAGTGACGTCAAGCGAAAGAAATTGGAACCGGGGGCCACATACGCAAGTAAGCGCATAAACGTGTCGAAGCCGCTTGCGCGGCAAGCCCAGGAAAAGCCACCCCCTTAAGCAGCGATGGGCGGTTTCCGCTTCGCCAGCTTAAATGTACGCGGTTTTCATTCGAGGAAAAAGCAGAATCAGCTACACCGTCTACTCGAAGAAAAGGAGATTGACTTTTTAGCAGTACAAGAGACAAAGCTAGAGAATGAGGAAGAGGTTGACCGCGCTTTACCACTTTTTTTGAGAAAATACGAGGTATGTGTCAGCCATGCTGCCGGTCTTTCGGGAGGGTGTTTCTTGTTTATAAAAAAGTCAGTTCAGTTAAGCGAACTAGCTCTGACGGTTGACTTGCAGGGCCGCTTTGTTATGCGTGATTTCCGGGTGCAGGAATGCAAGTGGCGGGTGATTTGTGTGTATGCACCAAACGATGTGAATTCTCGAGTTCAGTTTTTCAATCACTTGCGCTCATACTTGGTGTGTGATAGACTAGTTGTACTCCTTGGAGACTTCAATTGTGTTTGCGACTTAAATGACCGAACGCCGACCAGGCCCCATCTTGATAGAAGTGAACAACTATTGCTCGAAGTAGTCGAAGAGGGAGGCTTGTTAGACGTAGCCAACTTTCAAACAGGAACCAAACTCATACAGTTCACGCACTTTCAACGGGCGTCGCATGCCCGACTAGACAGGTTGTATTGTTCTATTGAACTAATACAACTTTTAAATGCTTATACTGTGGAACCTGTGTTATTCACAGATCACTGCATGGTTGCGATAACGATTGGACAAAAACGAAGGAAGCATAAGCGCATCAATTGGAAACTTTGGAAGCTAAATTCTCAGCTACTTAAAGATGAGTTTTTCGTGTCCGAAACGCGAAAATTACTTAGACAAGCAGGTCAAAACGGGGAAAACATTTTTGCGAGGTGGGAAACCTTTAAGCAAGACGCAAAACAATTGGCAATCGAAAGAGCAAGCACGCTTAATTATTACAAGCACGAAAAAGAAAAGCAACTCCAGCGTGACTTGCATCCTTTATACGAGCTGGAATGCAAAAATCCTGGCTACGGAACAAAAGACATAGAGTACATAAAAGCTCAGCTTGACAGTCTTTATCAGGAACGGTACGCGGGCGCGGTCGTGCGGTCGAGGGCAGAAAAGTTTCTCTTGGGAGAGCAACCCACAAAGAAGGCGTTGGAAGACGAAAAGAGGCACGCACTGAGTAAGGAAATACTAGAGATAGAGCACAGAAACAGAATCGTCACTGATAAGGAGGAGATCGAACGCGTCTTTCTTGATCACTATCGAGCACTGCTGAGCTGTCCCGCATTCGCAGACGATACCAAGGGTCTTGCAAAATTGATAACGTCACTACCGCGACTGAGTGAAGACTTTGCTGAAACCCTTGAAGAACCGATTAGTGTGCAAGAAATTGTAAATGCTGTGGACGCTCTCCCACAGGGAAAAACACCGGGACCCGACGGGATAATCGCTGAGTTTTATAAAGTGCACAAGAACGAGATTTGTCTCGTGCTGCATGAAGTTTTTCAAGAGGCCTACAAGGCAAACGCGCTCCCGCCTTCGTTTCTACGGGCACACACGGTGTTTATTCCAAAAGAAATGGACAACAACCAACGACGCTGCGTGAAAGGGTACCGCCCGATAACATTGTGTAATGTGGACTACAAGATATTCGCAAAAGTACTGGCAAACAGAATGCAATCTATTATTTGTGAAGTAGTCGGGGAACATCAAACATGTGGGATAAGGGGTAGAGCAATCCAGAGCAATATTCACGTGGCCCGAAGTGTGTTAGATTGTGTGTCTGGAAGAGGCGACCAAGTTGCAATGTTGCAAATTGATTTAGAGAAAGCGTTTGACCGCGTTCAGCATGATGTCCTTTTCAAAATACTGGCGCATGTAGGCGTTGGGAAGATAATATTACAAGGCGTTAAGATGTCGTACACCAACTGCTATACGAGTTTGGTGCTTAACAATAACGTGACGGAAAGTATACCAGTCCATTCTTCTGTGAGGCAAGGGTGCCCGCTGTCCCCCTTACTTTTTTCTTTGCACCTCGAACCACTGTGTCAGAGCATAATCCAAAGTTCAAATGTCCGAGGATATATCCTGCACAGCGTTGAAACCAAAGTCTTGGCTTATGCGGATGACGTTGCGTTTTTCTGCACCGATAAAACGAGTGTAAGCCACGCCCTGCGGTTGACGCACACTTTCTGCAAAGCCACGGGTGCCTCGGTGAACCTGCAAAAGTGCAGAGGCTTCTGGCACGGAACGTGGGCGAGCACGCCCGAAGTTTTCGAGGACATCCATTGGAGCTGCACTCCATGCAACTACCTCGGTGTGCCACTGGAGAGCCACAGAAACAGCACGACCTATTGGTCAACTGTAGCAGCAGATATCGACAAGCGCTCCAAGCGCTGGATCCACCGAGATCTGTCGATTTTTACGAGAGCAACTATATGCAACGTTTTTTTGATTGCCAAGCTTTGGTATGTGCTACAAGTTCTACACTGTGCAAGGAGCAATATACAAAAGTTTCACCGTGTCTTTGCGGTTTTCATATGGACTTCAACTTGGGAGCCTATGCGACGGGAAAACCTTTTCCGTAGTGTCGCAGACGGGGGTGTGGGCCTGCCCCACTTATTCGTTAGACAGTTGGTATCACGATTTCTTTTTTTAAGAGACCAGGAAGTCCCTTTTATTCGCGAAGTCATCCAAAACCAGCTGGCATCCTTTATCCCCACTTTTGTTGTGTCAACCGTTGAATATCACCCGCCAAGACTGGTGGGATACCTGAAAGAGGTTGTTGACGCCTTTAATTTTCTAGCAGTCCGTTTTTCTCGGGAGTACCTCGCAACTGTCTCGAGGAAAAAACTAACACGGGATCTTGTTGATATTCTCTTCCCAACGCCAATATACCGAGTCTTGTACAAAAATCACCCTGGGCAGGATGTGCTGTGTCGTGTAAAAAAGATGGGAATTCCTCCTAGAATCAAAACATTCTTTTTCAAATTACATTGTTCTATTTTACCCACCAAGGTATGGTTGCAGGAGAAGGGTATCTTTGTTCCATGGACTGTAAACTGCTTATTGTGTAAGGAGCCCGAAACTGTTGAGCACATTTTTATCAACTGCTGGGACGCAATTTTTTTTTGGGACGTGTTGCAGCGAACTTTGCGCAAAAGCCTAGATATTACACCGCATTCCATTCGTTTTCTGCCCGTAACGCCAGGGGACACCGTTCCGTATGACCTCATTATGCTCCTTAGTTTATACAGCATGTGGAATTCCCGAATGGACGTGCGAAATGCCGTTCAGACCCCGAAGTCTGTGCATTGTTATTTCATTCAACTGGTAGCACAAGTCACCAGTGTGTACGAAGGTCGCGACACAAAGCCCGATTGGGTACCATTGTTTAACAAATTGTTACAGATGAAAGAACTGTAGTGATAAATGAGGGACCTATTTTTGTAGTGCGATATTTTTGTGTGCTCTGACTCTCCGTTTTTGTTTCCCATGAAATAAAGAAAAAAAAAAAAAAAAAAAAAGTTATGTTGGCGCAACGGATAGCGCGCTAGTTTCACGATCAAGAGGGCCTAGCTTCGAAACCGGGCAGGGGATGTTTTTTTTTTCTCGTGTTATTTTTTTTTTCGTTTTTTTTTGTTTTTTTTTTGTTTGGTCACGTGGCAAGAAAAATCACATGAACAGAATTTTTTTTTGGCCAAGTCACCAGAGATTTTTTTTCTAATTTCTCCTTTTCTTCAGTCTTTCTTTCTTTCTTTCTTTCTTTCTTTCTTTCTTTTTTTTTCCTTTTTTTCGGTTTACGCTTCCTATCGCAAAACTCTTTGCACCTATTTCGCGTTACATTGGCGTTAGCCAAATCATTTTATTTATGGCAGGGAATTCTGCCGTACGTATCTTATGTTACTATTACCAACCCTGGATTTCGTCCGGCAACCAGTTTGGGAATGACGACGCCAAATTTCTGTTATAATTTCCTTGAGGTCTAAGGCCTCGTTATCCGTCGGCCTCTAAGATTGGCTCTTCAAGTATCTTTTGGGAAAGAGTTGACGACAGGCATCTTTAAGGAGCACGTGTGTCGACCAGAGTAAACATTGCTGAAGCGCCTCTAGTGTGATTTTGGCCGTAAATAACTGGAAGCCCCGGGCAAACCAACCCAGTGGAGAAAAGTATCTACCTTTCTGGTTTCACAGAGAGCTATGAAAGTCAGAAGGGACGAATCCCAGCCGAGTCAAACTACCGGCTTGCAAACGCAATCGTGTTGATAATAGCGCAAAGGAGTTTGTATGACCCTCTCTGGCGGTGCGCAGAGGGTAAAGGCACGGAGGTAATATATGCTTTTGCCCAGTCACCTCGCGAAAGGTTGGGTATTGGCTGCAGAGATCCATTTCGCGTTGTTTTATTACGGGATTATATCTTGATTTCTTTGTTCCTAGTTTCACAGACAGAACGAAATCGCTTTTCTCGTGTGGTGTCACGGCGGGAAGACAGAAATCAATCAGAGTACCGAAATTCGACGCTTGTGCTCGTTCTATAGCGCTTCTAAAAACCGTGCGATCACGGCTGTGTATCGTCAACATTGCATAAACTGCCGTTACTTCTACTCGTATTGCATCGTGAGGGAACGACTATGACTGGGTAAACAGAAATAGGGAGAATGGGTGCGTGTGATTTGTTGAAGTTCGAATCAACAAATCGAGCTTCAACGAATGCGATAGTATTGCATTCACTCAACCAGCTATATGAGTTTTCAGATCCTTCCAAGTATGCGATTCGTGTTCTGCCAGTGGTACCTCAGTAAGATTAAAAAACAAAATCCACGTTAAAAAAAAAAAAAAAAAAATTACGGTGACTCGAGTTGCTCCCGCGCCGAATCATGTTTCACGTAAGCGTAATTTTGGGTTCGATGCACGACGAGGGGTCTTCAATTATAAAAATATTTTGATTACGATTATTTGCGGCGCTAAAAATTTGAAAGCCAAGCAGTGAAGACGATGGTGTTCTTATAAATATTATATACATTTTATTTTACACTGTTTGAATACGCTGCCGTCGTTATGTCCTTGAATTATTGGCTAGCTTGTGGCTGACAGGGAAGTCTTGCAGGACCATTATGATAGGACCTACACTAAACCTGCCGCGCTTCGAAAAATGTTAGTCCAATGCATACCAGCTTGTTCAAGGCGGACGAAGCATTACGCATCCGGCAAAGCGCATTAAATCGCTGCCCGCGACGTTTTTTTATTTTTTATTTTTTATTTATTTATTTATTTATTTATTATTTTTTTTTTTTGTGCAGCGAGATAATTTT